ACAGTGACTGTACTCTTCTGCTCTGTCACATGCAGCATTCTTGTCCCTCTCCCTGTCACTTAGTGGTGAACTTGGCAGGACCAGATTAACATTTGGACTCTATGACCTTATAGGTTGTTTCCAACCTAAACTGTTCTATGCTTCTAAGATATTTAAGCTCTTTATATCCCCATGTATTATGTATTTAGGCATCTTTATTTTTCTGCTTGATATACACCAGAAAAATGAAGAAAATCCCTGATTTGTTTCAAAATGGTTTTCAAGGCTGATCCACAAAGTTATTAAAATTGTTATAATTCAGTCCATCTTTCCGCACCCACAGGAACTGGAGCCTGATTTTAGTGCGACTGTTTGAGATAGCTGAGAGCAGGGCTTTCCATTTTTACTCATTTAGAGACAGAACTGGAAGGTTTGCTTCCTAGGAAATCAGTTGAAAACAGGTAATTCTAAATACCAATTATTGATAAATACCAAGTTCCATAGCTGACATCCAGAATGAAAGCACTTCTGGAAAATTGGCTTGATCAGTCCCAGTGACCTGGAAATACAAATACTGGCAAAAAACTTTTCAGGTCAGGAATGGGACTGATTCTTGACTGCCCATCTGGGCACGAAGGATATTCTTACAAAGTAGAACTTTCTTTAGGTTTTTTTTTTCCCCATATTAAAAACACTTAATTTTGCTACACATCTAGAATATTCCATCCTCATACTACCACTGCCATGTAAGTGATGATTCCATGACAAGCTGTTTGTTAACAAAAATATTTTGAATTTACAAATAAAATTTTAAAATTCTTGATAGATCAAGTCACAAATTTACACACAAAGCAAAATGCTTTTTCTTGTTTGCCTTTTAAAGGGAGCAAAAAAAAACCTCAGAGGTAGCAATTATTTGAGAATGTGATGCCTGATCTCATGATGCTTTTTTCACTTCATTTGCCTTTACGGCTTTGTAGAAGATGTCTGATGTCTATCAAGTGGCTTACAGGACTTCAGTTTCCTTGCACAACACCTTCAGATCAGTTTATAGTTGCCATGAAATTACGAAATACACTTACAGGCTTCATGATGTAAACCCCACATAAATAATGCTTCAGAAAGCACAAAAAATTCTGCTTATTCATTTTGAACACCTGCTGCTACTACACTTTGGATACTTGAATGACATTTAAAGCAGCTGTCTATTTTTCAGCCATTTAAACATACACACACAAACAGGTATACTACAGAATTCACTGGTTTGACATAAATCATCATTACATATTTGTTTTACAGTTTGTTCCATAAACACATACATCCTCTTACTAATATTATATCAGGTTAATTCACTGCATTTAAAAAAAAAATCTTTGTAGTTACATAGTATCATAAAGACCAAACCTAAAGGCCTCATCATGTGTGATACTGAGCTTTGTGAGCACATGCCAATTCATTAGTTTGTATTTCTTCTAAAGTCTGAAATATTACACAGAAATACTAAAATTGTACATCCAATATGTCTCTGGTAAAAAAAAATCTAGTAAACAACTGTATGGTAACGAATCATATTTGCCAATACTGAAGAAAAAATGTTAGAATTAGTCTGAATCAGAAGGAAAGGTAATTAAATAACATATAAATGTTCAATTTTAGGGATTTTGTAAAACTAATTATGTAGAAGAGTCTTTCTGCTACCTTTTAGGGCTTTTATGCCATTACAAAGTAGTTCACACTATAAATGACATGTGGATAACTTTGACATTGAAAACATCATTCACATTCTTGAAATAATTATTCCAAGTGAAAAATTTGACTAACTGTGCAAGAATTAGAGGGGTAAATTCTGTTCATCCCTCTGCATATCAAAGGAAGTATCAAGAGCCTGTTTTTCCCCACTGGTGTGCCATAATTTTATACTGATTGACTCTGTAGAACTGCTGCAAAAACTCATGTACTTCCTAATGAAAAGTTTAAAGACCTGCAAGAAAAATATTGTTGCAAACAGAAAAAATTAATTATTTGAAAATTCAAAGGACCAAATACTTAGCTGAAGGTTATTTTGATTCTACAGAATACTGGTATTTTATTTTTTAATGTACTTTCAGATGTTTAAGGTCACTTTCAGAAGCTCTGCCACTGAGGAACAAGGTGTTTTGGAAAATATAAGCAAATTCAAGGGAAAATTATTCTATCTGCACATTTGTTCAGCTTCAAGAATTAAATATATTTATGACAATGTACTCAAATTACACTTAGCTAGCAAATCCCCCAACATTTCAAAGCAGAAAGTAAATGCCCCTTTTCCACTGTAGCTGACTTTCCCTTTTCACAGGGAGACATGATGATTTGGCATATTGAGAAATTCATGAGCAAAGGTGGGAGATGCTCAACACCACACAAAGTAATTTAGGCTACAAGTATTTTACAGTTTCAGTATTCATTTATGACAAAGCAGAGAAACTCCTTGACTTTCCTTCTGTGTGGATTATTGGAGGCACACATACCTACAGTTAGGCAGGATGAATCATACACTTAAAATCTGCTAACTGTTGTGTCTGTTTGCTTCAGGTGAGAAGTAACTTCAGGTAAAAGATATGGTGGGAACAGCCTGTTACTGTCATACGTCTGGGTAGTCACTGTGTTCTAACCTTAGAAATCTACCCTATACGGAACATCTTTACGCTCTAGGCTTTATGAGATACTACAGCTTCTGTGCATTACTAGATACATCCCAGAAAGCCTGTAGCAGCATATCTTTATGCACATCACTAGGTGTAGGAAATAACACAGTCAGAGTTTTCTGTGTAAAGAAAGAGGAATGTGTCTGATCCTATTAGCTCTGTTAGATTCAGTCAGAAAACTGAAGATTTAATAAGACACTGTCAGACACAGTGTGTTGTCAGCTTACACACACATTCCTCATAACTCAAGAGTTTCTTTGCAGTACTTCTAGCATCTCTAGAAATTTGTAAGGTATACTACAGACAGAGTATCTATTGGAAAATTGTTCAATTAACTATAACTGAGTTTTATGTTTGATACCTGGAGTAGCCCCTTCACGTCTTCATGTGTTAAATAAGTGGTTGAATTAAGGGATCTAGGATGCCTTCCCCCACCTTCAGCAGAGCATCCAGACTGCTCTTATCAGCTCCTGGAATTGGGCAGTTGCCTGTACAGAGGACAGTCTCTAAATCTGATGCCACCCTAATGTTACTACCACGTATGTTTATAGACACACAGATGATTAGTTAAGTTTTAATGCCCTGTCTGCAAAGGCTAGGTGCTCACCAACCTGTGCTTGAGCAGTTCCAGGGCTTTGAAGGTAAAGGGTGAGAATCTGATTTGCTGAATTAGATATGGCCTTCTGGGACCTTCAAAATCTGAAATTCTCTTTTGTCTGGCTCTGCAACAAGTACCTGATACTGCAGGAAGGCTTGCTCAGTGCATAAAATCATAAAAATATGGAGAAAAGTAAAGCTGTTCAGGAAGGAGACTGACAAAAGAGAGCGCATCTATCAAATACACTCCCCTCCACAGGTACAGGACCATTACCTCACCTCAAGTTTCCAGTTTCCCTTGAAGCTAGAGATGCTGGCTAAATACTTGGCCCACTTTTAGCCAGTCATCATATGATCATACTTTTCTGGAGTCAATTAAACTTTTGTTTCAAGAAGGAAGACCAGAGCAACTTTGCAGCCACTACAGTATAATTTTGATTCTATCTTCAGTTACATGGGATATAATGGATCCTTGCTGTTCCTACTGCTGTTCTGGGGACACATGACCAGCCCAAGTACATGGACTCCTCATTCCCACTGCTTTTTCAGTGGAGGTCTGAATCAGACCTTGGAGGCTGATTCCAAAACTAATGTTCATAAATTCATTATGAAAAATATGATTTCAAATTTTACTTCCAGGCTCAGACAAAAGTGCAGGATACAGGAGAGCCCCATGTCATTTACAGTTGGCATCAGAGTACAAATCCAAAGGGAAAGAAGCTTGGGTCTCAAAACCTAAACTCTATTTTAATTATATAATTACAGGTAATAAAAAACCTGTGAAACAAATAATTTACAATTCAAATAGTAATATATCTGTAATATATTAGAAATATAGTTTAAAAATGTCTCCATATTCTTAATTAGTATAAAGTTTAATTTTATGCTTTTTATAGAAATTATAGCTTTACTTGTTACTGCCTCAGCAGAAGGAAAGAAAAGTTCCTCAGCAGCTAAATAGCATTGGGCAATTAAAAAATATTTCATTTTGCTCTTTTTTGGTAATAGAAAAATAGCCTTTAAAAATATGTAGTTAAACATATGGGCTTATATTAAAGTAAAATTGTGTATTATATACAGTAAGGCAGTATATCATATATTATCCTGCTTTCTTTTTCATTTTGGTTTGTCTGGACTAGGATATGAATGGGATGCAGCTTTCTGTCACATTGAAACTAAACAAAATATATTTAGAATAATTTGTTATTTTACTGCCATTTGTAGAATATATTCACTGTTGTATATGATTTGTCATGTACAAGAGCTCCTTTTTCTCGAGGATTGAGAAGAAAGATAAAGAAAACAATGCAGTGTCAGAATGCATTCAGAAGAAAACACATTGTAGGTAAGAATACAGTTGTGCAATAATTTATCTAATGGAGGAACTGCTCAGATTGCTATGGTTTGCTGACTCACCCATAACAATTTTCATCTTTGTTGAATCTGTGGTATTTCCTCAGGCTTCATCAACCAACAAAAGTTTTGCAGAACTGAATAATTATTTTACAGAGTATTTTTCATGATACACAAGACCCATTTCCTCATTTCCCTTTGTCAGAAATGTGTGCTAGTAATCCAGGATTTACGTCCATGACTATTACCTCGACTCACAGATTATTTTATTACCTGTACAATGCACATAGGAGGATAGGCTTTTGGAGGCTAGGCTTTTCCAAAGAGCTGTTTGCTATGTGATTTTGTTTTACTGTGTGTAACTACTAAGTATGTGCTGTACTAAAAGCTTATTTAAAGGAGGGCATAAAGGAAGATGGATCCATGTAGTCTGATCCACTGTCGTCTCTTCTGGAGTCACTTGGAGTTGTCGTGCTGTGGCTTGTATCCTTCTCAGCTTGACTTTCCTGAGGGTTCTGAGATGTTTCTGGTACAGGTTCTTGAGATACAGGTGTGTTCTGGCTGCGCTGATCTGGCAATAGTACTAAAATGTGATGGTCCACAACTGTTGAGACCTTGGTATATTCTTTGCTGGTTTTTGGAACAGTACCTTTTTTTGTCTTTCCATTGTTTTCTTTATGTTTCAGTAATAGTGATGGTTCCTCATCTGGTCTGACTTTATGAACTTCTACGTAGTCCATTAGTTTAGGATTCAGGAAAGGTGACTTGTTACCATGTTCATTTTGTCTGACCTGCACTGTGGTTTGGTCAGTTTTGAAATACTCCATCTCATTTATCTTTTCCAGGTCATCATACACAGTTTCAGCAATAGGATATAGCGATTGACGACTTTCTTCATTTCCCACCAAAACTGGTGAAGTGTTCACATTTGTGGTGTTCAGTGTTATCTTGAATGCCTCCACAGTGCTGTGGTAGGCAAACATAGCAGCCTGATTACTGGGTAACTGAGCTGCCAGCCATGTGCACGACTTTTTACTCTCACAAGGGAGTGTTTTCTGCTCTGAGGTTGAGGCCGCACACCGAGTGTCCCAGCTCCCCTTCCCCCCTTTCTTTTCTTTAGCTCTTACATCTTGTGTTTGAAGAGTAGATGGAAGGCTGCGGGATTCCCTGCACTTCACAGGGAGGAGAGAAGGGCTATCACAGCTCCCTCGGCCTGAGTCACTGTCTGTTTCCTTGAGAATAATTTTTGCATTTTTACTTGGAGTGTCATGACTTGGCATGAGCTGCTGATCCTCACTGTCCTCTACCTCTAGATATTCTATCAGTAGTTCCTCGCAGTCTGATGTTGGAGGGAAACCATGGCAACCAAGAGCACTCAGTAATTCTTCAGATTTTCCTGTCTGAAGGTATAATGAAGAGGATATAATTTTTCATTGTCAACCTTAAGGACTATATGACTAGAACAATTGTGAACAGTCTACATATTTGATGCACAAACACTTCGACAGTTACATTGCTAGACCTAAACCTGATTTCTACTGCTGCAGAAAATATTGAAAGAAGAGAAGAATAATTCCTGAATTTCCTCAATGGGGAGACAAACCTAAAATTCATGTTGTAATGTGGGAGGAGCAGGGAGCTTTTGGCAGGTATAGGTCTCCTGAGATTAACAAGAAGGAAATGGAGGAGAACTACAGTGTAGACATGTTCTGCCTCTGCAGCATAGCTAAAGACCGTGAAAAGCATCTTCCATAAGAACTACAAGGAAGTTCACCGAGGCATTTTCTTATGCCCCAAGGAACAGGGCAGTCACAAACCCTGTTCTTAAATTCCTGTTACAAGTGAAAGACAAAACTCTGACTTACACATATCCCCCACATACTTAACTGGAAAGTGTTGCTTATTTCCAACACTGAGTAATTGAAGCAGTTTTACACATTACTGTGGTAACTGTGTTTGCTAGTACGTAAGTTGGAAAAGCAAGTTATGGTGAATTCTTTTGTTGTTGGCTGTGGTACTCACCTCCAGCAGATGTGTATCTATGCCTTTTATCTTTGGTCCTGGAACTGGTGGCAGGATAAAGGCCATCATTCTAAAAAAAAACCCAGAGCAAACATACCAGCTGTAAATACAGACACTAGCTCACTATTTGTTCTCCCACTTCCTCAGAATATGACTGAGATTTTAAACACTTCTCCCATATCTTATATGTCCCAGTTGGACCTCTGTCTCCTGTCTGCCTCTCAAGCTGTGTAATTTACAAATCCAGTTACAGCTCATACAGTACCCTTAGATGACTTATAAAAAACATACTAGCAATACAAAAGTTATTTAACTGGAAAAGTAAAATTAGTAATGTCCTTTTAATTGTCATCTGTCCCTTAACCTCCAGTTCTCTAATACCATTGTAAATTCACCACTGCCCAAGAAAGAGTGAAGTGAGGCACAGCTCAGGAGGGCTAGTGGGGCTGTCTGTGCATGTTTGCCTGTTACCTGATTACTGCTAAACAGGATGGCTTTTCCAACCACAGTTTCTTTCCCTTTCTTCTACTCAGCCAGTATTTTTTGTTGGACTTGTACAATAGCAATAATCTTTGCAACACCTTTCTCTTTCAAATTTGATTGAAATTAGCCAGGATTCTAAGAAATCATTTGGGAAATTGACGGAGAGGCTGGCAGAAAGACAATCTCATAATATAACCTTGTTTACTTTAGGAAATTATGACAAAACCCAAAAACATGTCTCCTACAGAACACGGATACTCCAAGTAATGTTTGATGAATATTACATGACTAACCAAGATTAGTCAGATCTAACAGAGCTGTCTCTAACTGATAATTTAGCCTGGTTTCCATAAGAAGCAGAAACACTGCTTTATCAGTTGCAAATTAAGTCAAATACCTATAACTAATAGTTTATAAGCTAAAGTAAATGGTAGAGGATATTGAATCAAATATTAGAATTCTATTTTTGGAAAGTTTTCTCTGATCTTGGACTTGATGCAATTGTGAAATTGGTGGCTTACCTGTACCCTTTCATAATCATAATCCAGCTCATGATTAAACATATAAGAGATGACAGGACACCAACGATGATCCACACAACCATATCTTTTACTCTAAAGTCTAAGAAAAAACAAAATTATTCAAGGACAGACATCTAGCATATGCAGTCAGCATGCCAAAAAACCCTCACAAATTACTTTTATTTTAAAAATTGGCCTGAACTGCCAAATTTATTATCGAACAGAGGCCTTCAGCAGCACAGACAGATCTCAACAATCCCTGTAATATCAAATAATGAATATAATTTTTACTAATGGTACTGCACAGGAAATAAACTGTCTTGGAAAAATCATACAAAAATGCATGGAGAGGAAAATTTTGTCACAGCCAATTATACAGATTGGGTTCAAATCCAGTTGTACTAAACCTGTAGTCATTGCATTATTAAATACATATCATACAATTAATTAAATGCTGGGTAAAGTGACCTAGGATTACATATTTTGAAGGATTTTTGTTGTAATGTAACACTTTTCATACTGAAGTGGTTATTTCATATGAATTCCAGATAAAGAGTAATGAAGTAATGAAGAGCTGTTACTGTCTGAAGGCAATCACTCTTTGTTGTCTCTGTCACCATTTTAATGCAGTTGCCAGTGTTCTTTTAATTAAAAACTACCATAAAGAGAACAAATGAGGCAACAGACAGAAAGGACATGGTTTAAATAAGCAAAGAAATTATTCAACCTCTTAACTCTATCATAAAGTAATGAAGGGGAAAGGTATCTGGGTATGGTGCAGAGATGATAAATATTTGGTTACCTTAGCAATGATGTTCTTGTCTGTCCTAGGGAAACTAAGGGATCTGCACGGATGCCACAAACAGCTATCAAAAAGTATAACATTAACTTGCATGTAATAACAATTACAGAAGGGATGCCTGGCCACTCACCAGTAGGGATCTCAATATACATTTCAGGGCTCCACTCACTCCACAGTCCATGGTGGTCTGGTTTGCAGTGAATCTGTACAATGTACCTCTTTCCAGGATGTAAACTAAACATTTTGTATTGTGTTTGCTGTCCAACAAAAATAGTCTGGAAATAAAATAAATGTCACAGCTAAGGTTTTGGTAATCAAGATGTTAATATAGAATGATTCTGGATATCTTTTCCTAATAATTGTTGAGCAGGAATAATGGTACATCTATTTTATTTCTATAGTTTAGCTTTCTAGGAGGTGGGAATGAGATCTGGCTCTGGTGTAAATTAAACTGCTGTATAAAAACACATCATGAATTTATGGCAAATAGGTGAGAAGCTGTGGTAATGGTAGGAACTGCAATGGTGACAGGAAGAGGAGGAGGCAGAGATTAATGAGGGAGGAAGAAAACGGAGATGGAGAAAGAAAATGCAGAGAGGAAGAGGCAATGTGGAGTTGTGGAAATGCACAGGGTAATAAAAAGTAGGTCTTGCAATGGTCAGAGGGAAGTGCAGTGGGAGGGGGATGGCAGGAGGAGATACAGAGGTGGTTTGGAAGTTCTGCAGACAAGAAGGGCATGGAGTCAAATATCAATAGCTGGAGTCTTTAATTTACCACTCAGCTGTTTAAGTTGTAGATCCTGGCCATAAAAAATTATTATTGTTGGGTGGCCACTACATTTACTACCTAATGGTTATTTATATAAATTTAAATTATTTTACGTAATGTCACTGAAGCTTTCTGTTATCTAAGAAGTACCTGTGATTAAGAACAAATTATAATGAAAGAAACATGGCTAAATGAGAAGGAACAATTTAAACTACAATGCCAATAGGATTAATAAAAAATGACCAAAATTAAAAACAAATACTTAATCACCTGCTATTTACAGCAGCATCTGAGATACCAGCAGGAAATCACAGGTCACACAAGCGTTTTTGAAAAATTATGACCTATTTAGAGTGTCTGCTTCATTACATTCAGGCATGGGACCTGGCCGACAAAATCTAGCTGGTCAGAAAATATTATCTAGCAAAAACTTGTGACATCCTTACCTCCCATTCCTCTCCTTCTTCAGGCTTTAGTCGCAATTCATATTCAAGGGTAAGCCATCCAGATCTGACATCAGCCTGTGGGGGTGGAGACCACGTCAGGACCAGATATGATTTTCTCTTTATTGACTTTTTTAATTCCAGGGTTATATTCACAGGAGGATCTGGCTGTACTGTTGAAATAAAAGAACTGTCAATAAGAATCTAAGTGACTTTTTTCCTTGCAGCTTAGGAAGAAATATAAAATGATGTGAGTGAATAGTTGCCATCTCCATTGGGTCTGGTAATTTAGAACTGCTACTGGAATATAGAAATCAAGAGTTTTCAGATAAATTAAGTATGGATTTAGGAATTTTAACCCCCACCCGAATAGTAGTAAGTGTATTAAACTCATGTTGAGATTTGCCTTAACCATTTATCATCAAAAATATTTTTCTTACATTTCTATTTATTGTTACTTTTCCCCACAACTGTATTTCAAAGTTAACATCTTTGATGTTATGTTCTGAAAGTTGTGTTCTACTATAATCTTATTAAAGCTTGGCATAAATATTTAGGAACACTGAAAACATGGATGCAGCTAATGAAACTTGTCTCCTCCATCTTTTACATTCAGAAAACACAACCACATGATCCCTACACTTCTAGGTAAGGATACTTAAAAGTAAACCAAAACACCATATTAAAGCTCTGTCTATATTTCAAAAATAAATAAAAACGGAACACAGGATTCAGACTTGCATCTCCCTCAGTTCAGAGGTAGAGCTTCTGCATATTGTGCATATATTTTACCACTGTCTGATCAAAGATTCATTGGGTCATTGCATTGAGGTAAAGTATAAAGCCATTTCTCCAACAGCCTTTTTCCAGTTGCCAGACTCCTGGCAGCCAGATCCTTGACAACAAAATGGTTATCAAGGATAATGTTCCGTTCCCTTAGATAAGACCCTAATTACTTGTCCACAGTCACTCTGTAGAAAAAGTCTTATAAAAAGATTATCAGTATACTGCTATAAAAAGCACTAATGCAGCTTCTCTTGGGTCTGGAAACTACTTTTGGGTAATCAGATTTAAGTATTATTAGTTAAAAGATTAAATTGATTCTGTTGCTTATACAGTGGAAAAAAGATTTTAGCTGGATGATGTTTCTTAGGGTTTGACTACAAGAAATATGGAAAACCAATAAATATTTATCTGAACATAATTTTAAAGCTTTTAGCATTTTTGGCTTCTTTGGAAAATAAGATGGTAAAGGGATGAATATTGATTTGTTATTACACTAAGGAATATCTTATTTGTATAAGTTTTAAACTTGAATGTAATCCTATATACAAGGAGAGCTGGAATTAAAATTCTTGTGTCACAACCCATGATTCTGAATAATTTGGTTCCACAGAAACTACTTTTTAACTCTTACCTATGTAAGTCACATCCACATAATGGGGATCAGAGACATTACTTCCCATTTCATTAGTTGCCCTCACAGTAATATTGTATATGGTCCAGAAAGAGGTGTGCTTTTTATCGAAGTAGCACGAATTGGGGCCTGCAGTTTTGTAATCTGGACATTCATAAACTTTTTCTTCTCTGAAATGAAAGAATCCCAGTGATTAGGTTACACAGACTGCAACACCTGATTTTGGTTACTAGTACTTCAGCATTATTTAGGGCTGGATCTGATTTTTCACACCTGGCAATGTGAAGAAAATCAGAAAACTGCTTCCAGACTAAAGAGTCATTGGACAATCACAGAGACTGTACTAAGCATTTTCCCCACAAAGCAAACACCACAAAGCCTGGAGGATTTAGGCTATTGCAGATGCAGCTGTGGGCTAGTACAGCACAGCTCTTCCTTCTCTGAAAGCCACTGTTCACTGCACAGCCCAGAGCCCTTAAACGTTACAGAGACTGAGTAGAAGTGATTGCTGAGTCTTCTATCTATTAAAAACTATGTATTTCCAATGATCATCTCACACTTACAGGAATTCTGCATATTACACTAATATGCCTTCAGAATTTATTTGGTCTTTCATCTCTTTATCATTAAAAAAATAAATCTACTTTGTACTGTCCTTAACATCCATACCCAAGCTTCCCAAAGTCAGAGGAGGGGTAGGAGAGAAATTTGAGTATGTAGTCATTGTTTTCATGCTCTTCCTAGATGCACAGTAACAAAAGAAAAAGTTGTGGATGTGGACCTCTTACTTTGCCATACCTGGCTGGACCAGTATCTGTCTTTTTACACTAAGAGTGGGCTCTCAGCTGATAGTTACAGAGTTTAGCATCTATTTAGGTAATTGCAAAGTACAGCAGTACTAGGTGAACTAAAAAGGACCAAAAAAGGTTCATAAGACTTATTGACTCTTTCTTTAAAATGAATGTTTAGCACTTTATCTGAGTTCCAAGGAAAGGTTACTACAGAAACCAGAAAACATTCATGCCTTATGAATACTAGTGCAAAACAAGTCTTATCAGAAGATAAAAATTTTAGTATCTGCTAATTTCGGAAAGTTTTATTTCTAAGACTGTGTGGTTGAAGAGTTTTAGGACTGTGCAGTTGCACTGTTTACTAACAAGCTGTTGATGAGCAATTAAAAGACAGAATTCACAGTAATTATATACCTGTCATTATAAAGAGACCAAGATTTAATATTTCAATCTTAGACATGTTGCTGCTTTACTGTGATGCCATAACATGCCACTGGACAAAACCATGGACTACAGAAAATGTGATCTCCCAAAATAAGAAACGAATGAGGATTGATTTTCCAGGTCCTTCCAACAAAACACAGAATAACTACACAGCACTTATTACCCCTCTTTGCTGTAAAGCAAAGTGTGTTTGGTCAAGAGTCCTCCAGCTGAAGCAGGTTTCCACCAACAAGTAAATGTTTCTTTTTCAGGAGAACGGCACTTTATTATTATAGGCTTTTCAGGAGGTAACCTTTCTGTAAGAGATAAAGAAATGAACTAATTAGTAAGTTTAATCCATTAGGTCCACCTTGAATTTGCAAAATAAAGTCAAACAGAGAACAGGAAAATAGAAAAACAGGAAAACAGAAAAACAGAAACAGGAAAAAAGAGAAACTTGCTTTGTAGTGGCACAGGAAAGGAGGGACCATTTGCTGCTTAGGGCAACAACTTGCTACTTTCACCTGGATTCAGAATTCTCTCTCACTGCAGCTGCACTGAAGAACAGTTTTAGTTTTCTGCCTGTGGCTTTCTTCCGCCCCAAAATCTAATAAGGAATGTTGAAATACAGTCATAGCAGGCTCTACAGAGTTATTTAAAATACACTCTACTATCCAGTCTATTTTCTATGGTGCTCTGGTTTCAGCTAGCATAATTTCTTCTCAGTAACTGGTATAGTGCTGTGGTTTGGATACAGTATGAGAATAATTTTCATTATTCATTATAGGGATATTATCATTCATTATAGGGATATTTTGTCACTAAGTCATGTTTATCCTAAACCAAGGGCACCTTTTTGTGTCTCCTGCACCATCAGTAAAGAGCTACAAAACAGAAAAAAAAGGTTGGGAGTGACTATAGATAGACAGGTGACCTCACCAAAGGTCACCTGTTCCACAGAACATCATCTCCAGCATACAAATTTGGGAGTTACCCAGAACCAGTGCCCATCAGGATTCAGAAATGGAGTTTGGCATTTATCAGCAGTGGGTGAGAAAATATATTGTCCAGAATTTTTTCCCCTTTTTTATCATCATCATCATCATCATCATCATCATCATCATCATCATCATCATCATCATCATCATCTACAATTATTATTATTATTATTACATTTTACTTTGTTTTAGTGATTGAACTGTTCTTATCCCAACCCACAGATTTTACCTTTAATTCTTCCCTTCATTCCACCATGGTGATTTATGAGTGGGCAGCTGTGTGATGGTTTGTTGCCAGCTGGGCTTAAACCACTACATACAAAACAAATCTTTTTTTCCAAAAGATGTGTTTAAAGATTATTCTGTTTGTTTGAAAGGTATGCTGTCATTTTCTTTTGATTTTAGGTAAAAAAAGGAAGAATGTAAAAATGTATGTCTATTTATTGGCATTCTTGCCAGTAATTTTCTTCTGAAGTACTCAAAATATACAAAGAAGCAGGTCTCATATTTCAATGTAATGTTTTTATGTTCAGTACTCAGGCTACTTGCATGATTGCTCCAGAGCAAGTTTTTATAGTTTCAAGAACAGCACTTAAGAACTGGGCGGAGAAAAATGCTTGAATTTTGAATAGGATGATGCTCATCAAAACCCTGAAGTGATTGAAACTTTTGCAGTTGTGTATTTGTGGCAAAAGTATTCCTATTACATCAATAATATATATTTTCTATTATGTACAGCAGAGAGATTGATTTTCCAAATTTATAATTGCCTAAGGCAGATCTGAAAATGGGATATTTAAAAAATATTTTTCTATTAACAGTACTTCAACAATATCCATATCAAATAATGAATAATAAAACTACTAACTGAAGAAGTTTTGAGACAGCTAGGTTAAAGTGTCTTGCAACAAGATATGATGTCATACATATTTAATGTGTCTACTTAAATCCAGTAAAACTCAGATAGTGACTTCCATGTGATAGTATCTGTAAGAGCCATCAGGGCTTTCTGTCTGGGCTCTTATACAAAAAACATTACCTGATATTTATAGCTACAGATAAAATCAACATTGTTTTTAAATAAAGGGATAGGAACAATAAATTATTTAGGCATGTCTGTATCAGAAATGGCTTCCAAGTAAATCCCACCTTGTTCATCATAGCTAGTTTCAGCAGAGGATCCTGACCAGATCAACAAGATTAACAAAGCAATTACAAAGGAAGTATGGTAAAATGCACTGAGCGCTACTAAGTACCCATGTGAGAGGCCAGGTTTTCAGGATTTGGCATTTAGGCACCTTCACAACATTGAACCTGCCACACTTTAAAAGCAATTTACAGAGCAGCAATCATCCACTCACCTTTGGGGATCTCAATGCTTCTTTCTGAGCTCCACTCACTCCATTCTCCGAGGTCTAGCATGCAACGCACCTGAACAATGTACTTCACCCCAGCTTTCAGGCTGCTCACCTCATAGTGTGTCTGCATTCCTACAGACACTGTCTGTAAAAGAAAATGGACTGGAAAATAATCAAGAATTGGACCACTTCAACGAATAAACCATAAAGGAACAGATTCTGAGGTTCTGACTTCTGAAAGTCAGGGATTTAAGTCGGCTATTTATAAGATATCAATTACCAAGAAGCAAAAGTAGTGATTTAGCAGAAAAAAATCACTGCTGATTCTGATATTCAAGAAAATATTAAACCGTAGACTTCCAAATATGCCATCAGATCCATAATGCAAAGAACATTACAAGTAGTCCAGCCCACATATAAACCCCCACTGAAATACTTCTCAGTGGCTTTAAGTTACTTTCTCAGACTCTTCTAATTTCTCCTCAGAACTATCTCAAAATGCATAGCATTCTCCATCATTAAGCAGCAACAAGCTAAGCAGCATTTAGGACACATGACTATAAGTTTAAGAATGACATTTTATCCTGAGAACTCAGCTGTAGCAGTACTGAAGCTGATTCCTAGAAATTTGGCAACAGGTCGAGAATGTCAATGGAGCGGTTAAATGTGAGTGAGCCACAACAGAATTTCTGAGGGGCAGGTTGCCTCCAAGTGATCATGTTGAAGAGGATGATGATAACTGGTTTTTGTCATACATAACATTAGGATGATTATGTAAATATATTGAATTTCACAGACCACTCCAGTAATTTTCTTTATTTAATCAGATCTAGTTACAATAATTTTTCTATTCTTACATTTTTATAGGACCAATTAAACTGAGACAAGAGAATTCATTTGAATAGAGCACTTATAATAATGAATAGAGCACTTATAAAATAAATGTATTTTTTCCTTACCTCCCACTCTTCCTTTTCCTCAGGCTTTAGTCGTAGCTCATAGTGATACACATGTGAATTAGAGCTGGCCTCAGCTAATGGGGGTGGAGACCATTTTGCACAAAGGTATGACAGGTTAGCAGATGTGTTTGTTTCTAGAGAGAGGTTCACAGGAGCATCTGGCTGAACTGTATAAATGAATGAAAAGTGTGCTATTTAATTTTCTCTCAGAAAAAAACCACCTCCTTTATGTTTTGTATGTCATCATATTATTTTCAGATATTTCAGCAATGTAAAAGAATAATAAAGAAGACTTTTATTTTTCCTTTTTCCTCAATAAGTTTAACTAGCTCCTGATTTCCAACAGTATCAGCAAATCTTAAACTTTATTCTGAATTTGTCAGGCTAAGGAAATACAAATCATAATTTTATAAGGCCGCTCCTGGAAAACTAGAATGTCATCTATTTCATAGCTAGAAAAACTAAGCATATTATAATTAAAATGGTATATAATATGTGTGCGGAAACTAGATTGGAGTCAGGAATATAAAGTTCTACAAAAAGCCTGCATAATGCTCAGGCAGTTATTTTTACCCTTCCAAGACTGCAATGCCAGCAGTTAAAATGATTTTTACATTTGAAGTACTTGGTAGGTTAACCTAATTTGAAAAATTTTATAATCTACATTGAGTCTAACTAAAATACTGCAGACAACTAGAAAGTGAAGCAAATTTTTCAGCTAAAGTTAAAATTTTTATATATTCATACATGAAATTCCTACAATCAAGTATGTAGTTACTTAACTTAGAATTAAAATGCAGTTTTCACATACATTTAACATGCATATTTTAGGTTATCTGTAAATAAACACTTCTCAATAGCAAATTGCACATCATGAGGAAAAAAATCTTTCACCACTACCTGTTCTGGGATTAAAAACTGAGCACATCTCCAACTAGTTTGTTTTCCATTTCATTCTTTGATTTTACCTATGGAAGTTACATCCACATGCTGAGGATCTGAGCTGTTACTTCCAATCTCATTTGTTGCCATTACGGTGATAATATATGTTGTCCAGGGATTAGTGTGGTTTTTATCAAAGTAACAGGAATTTGGACCTGATGTTAGGTAGTCTGGACATTCATAGATTTTTTCTTCACTGAAACAAAATGATTGAAAAATTTAGGAAATGAAGCAAAGCAGATAACATTCTAGCAATGGACTAGATTCAGCAGAAAAATCTGAAATGTTTGTGTGTGTGTGTATATATATATATATATATATATAATCACAGATATAATTTATATAGATTTAGAATAACCAGAAATTTAAATAATTATATATATATATATATTTATTATAATTTAATATTATATATATATATATATATATATATATATATATATATATATATATATATATATAATCCCATCTCTGGGAAACATTTGGTACATGTGAAATGACATTACCATAAATGCTTCATTTACATTTTTACTGCAGTTGTTTTGATGAATGCTTTCTCCCCTTTGTTTATACATAGGAATAAATCAACAAAAGAACAGAAACAGAAATTTCCACAGACAAAACAAAGAAATTTTAACAATATTTATAAGCAAGTAAGAGGCAAATGAAAAATATTTACTTCAATTACATAAGTTGCTAAATATCTTTGCATATCACCCCAAGAAATTAAACTTATGGGCCCTATGGCAAAGAGCTCTTTTATTGATTAGTTTGTTTTCAGCAAGGTAGGAGAATCATTTAGGTTGGAAAAGACCTCTAACCTTGTCAAGTCAAGCTTTGACCACCTTGTCAACCAGACCATAGCACCAAGTGCAATGTCCAGTAGCTTCCTAAACACCTCCAGAAATGGTGACTGCCCACCTCCCTGAGCAGCCCATTCCAATGCCTACCCATCCCTTCAGTGAATAAATTCTTCCTGAGGTCCAACCTGAACCTCCTCTAGTGCAGTTTGAGGCTGTTTCCTCTTGTCCTATCACTATGCCCCGAGAGAAGAGACTGATGAACACATGAGTACAGCCTCCTTTCAGGGAGTTGTAGAGTGATAAGGTGATCCCTGAGCCTCCCTTTCTCCAGGATGAACACCCCCAGATCCCTCACCTGCTTCTTACATGACTCGTGCTCCAGACCCTTCTCCAGTTCTGTTGCCCTTCTCTGGTCATGTTCCAGCACCTCAAAGTCTTTCTTGCAGTGAGGGGTCCAGAACTGCACACAGGATTTGGGTGTGCTCTCACCAGTGTCAAGTACAGGGCAAATCACTGTCTTGGTCCTGCTGGCCACACAGGCTGGGTGCCACTGGCCTTCTTAACCACCTGGGTACACACTGGTTCATGTTCATCCCCAGGTCCTTCTCTGCTGAGCCACATTGCCACCTCTCTACCCCAGCCTGGAGTTGCATGAGGTTGTTGTTACCAAGGACAGGACCTGGCACGTGGCCTGGCTGCACCTCACACCATCGGCCTCCATGCAAATCCTTCTGCAGAGCCTTCCTGGACTCCAACAGATCAGCACTCCTGCCCAGCCTGGTGTCATCTGCAAACTCACTGAGGGTGCTCTCAATCCTCTCATCCAGATCATCAGTAAAGATATCTAACAGGGCTGACCCCAGCACTGATCCCCTAAACACACCTCTAGTGACCAGCTGCAGTGGATGCAGCACAGCTCACCACCCCTTCCTAGGCCCAGCCATCAGCCCTTTCTTAACACAGCAAAGAGTGCTCCTGTCCAAGCCATGGGCTACCAGATTTTCCAAGAGAATGCTGTGGGAGACATTGTCAAAGGTTTTGGTGAAGTTCAGGCAGACTACATCCACAGCCTCTCCTGAGAGGGTTGCCTGTTCATAAAAGGAGATCAAGCAGGACCCGCCATTCCTAAATCCATGGTAGCTGGGTCTGATCCCTTGGTTGTCCTCTATGTGCTGTGTGGTTGCACAGGACAACCTGTTCCACAACCTTCCTGATGTCAATTTATTTCTTTTTAACATGATCATAATCAAAACTATCTGAAAAAAAAGAAGAAAAAAAATTACTTCACAGTCAATTACTATTGCCCTTACATGGGTCTTCGGATTATTTAGGAGAGGGATTGTGCTCAAAGCTGGCCAAGGTGATGTACTCACAGCCTGTCTCAGGTGATAAGAACTGTACAAATCCAAAGCATCAGCTGATGTGGCACAAGAATGAACAGTAATTCCACTATTATGCTTTATGTATGATCAGTAATAAGGTTTCTTAGTTTCCAGGAAGTTTTGTCATAGTTCACAAAGAAAAGATGGGAGAAACGGGTCTATACCTAAGAGAAAATGAGCCTAGAAAGGCAATTGTGGCCCAGGTCTAAAATGCTTGGCAGAGCCTGGTTTCAGCAGATTTAAGAAATGGATAAGCACTCCTATCCTTCCCTAAGCAAAATGGCTCTGGGCAGTGAATTAAAATGTTCATTAAACTTTTTGATGAAGACTGAAACATCTGGGCTTTCATAAAATAAAAGTTCCCAAATCATTGTTGTGTGTGGTAACTCCATTAAAGAGTTTTTTTCTGCATTTTTTTTCTGCTCAATGATTTGAAATGCTTAAATGTCGCAGTGATTTCTGAGGCTTTACCTTACCTATTCTTAATCTCCCTGGATTTATAAAAAAACTTAATCTCTAAGCCTCCCTGCTTACTTGTCCCTGGTCAAAGACTGTTTTCAGGAAGAAAGTACAAAGTTAAAGAAAGATGGACAGGTTAAGTAAAGTTGCCAAACATATACACTTCATTCCTGAGCAGGATGAGGGAGTGATAATTACCAAAATATTAATTTTTGAGATTTTACACCCATATCTGATTTCACTGCATTTTTGGAACCACTGACCACAAAACCAACAGGAGAAAAAAATTACCATAGTCCAGAATGGGGTTTTAGTGTGCATGGTAATGGACAAGCTCCTTGGCAGGGCCCCAGCAGCCCTCACTGACCCTGCCCAGCCCCTCCATGGGGACCTGGGTCCCAGGTCCCCAGTTTAGCTGGTCTGCAGCTCCACACAGTCCTGCCTTTCCCAGTCACAGCCCCCTGAGCCAGCCCAACCCATGAGCTGATGTCCCAGCCCAGCGTGGCCTCAGCCTGTCCCTGTCCCCAAGGAGGTGACCAGTGCCCAGGGCTGGGCTGCACCCCTCCTGCCCTGCTCCGTGGCTGGGGTGATGAGAGATCTGCTGCCCTGTGGTGCCCTCATGCTTCAGTGCTCAGAGGGTGACCCCATCTAGCTGAAAGCTTGTGCTTCCCAAAAAGATGGGCAAACACGCCTTTGTTTCCAGCACATCTTCAGACAAGTGGGATTTTTGGTAGATGAGTTTTAGGAGGGACAGGCTGAAGATTCAGGGCTTTTAGTAGTCATGTTTTCTTCCAACAAGAAGCCATGGATTTTATGCAGCCCCTGTTGTCTATCTAAGGTTAAAATGGATTCATAAAAACAACTTTACAAATTAATGTTGTGATTCTCTTGGTCTGACAAAACCCTCACCTGATCACTTACAGAGTACATATGCACCACTTGTTACCTGTCCTTGCTGTAGAACAGGGTGTAATTGTTAGGGAGTCCTCCATCTGAGCCAGGCTTCCACCAACATGAAAAGGTTTCCTTTTCTAGAGAACGACATCTTATTATCTGAGGTTTTCCAGGGTATGATTGACCTAGGGAAGTGCAAAAATCCAACTAGTTAAATTAGAAGTGGGCAATGCTTTTGGATGCTATTGTTGAATGATAAAAGTCAACCAAGCATTCCTTTTTTGAAGACAATAAAATTACACAAAACTGAACTGAATTAAGCAAATAACTCTGCCTGGGAAAAGGATCAATATTCTCAAAAAGGTATATACACTTTACCTCAAACTTCTAAAACAGCTAGTAGAATGATTTTGCTTTTTAACAGGAACATTTATTTTTTACCTAAACTCAAAATGGTATATTTATCTCAAAATTAAATTATGAAGATGGGAAATAAATATATGACTTTTAGGATTTGTCCCCATAAGCATTAAAATTTTGTATCTTCAGATTATTTTAAGATTAAATTTCAACTCTGAAACAGAACTAAAATTCCATTCTTTGCACATATTTGAGGTAAATTATAGGTCAGAAAATTATAAAAAGAAGGAAATCAATGGGCTAGATAGAATTTTTTGGATGCTGGCAAACTCTATGTACTCATTCATTGTTCAATCATTCCCTGTTAATCCAAATATATTTAAGAATATTTCTTTTAAGACTACTTCTCATTAACTTACACCAAGAATACAGACCACACATTTAAATTCATTTTAAAACAACAAGTGTGTGACCTTTTAACCTAAGCTTATCATTATTTCATTAAAGTTCCATGTAATTATCTCAAATAGAGTAACTATTCATATGCTAAATCCCAAGAAGGTGACAGGCATAAAGTGAATATAGTGTTTCAGTATTGCCACCAAAGAATCCTTAAATTAATCACGTAAAAAGAAAAGACAACTCCAGCCACTTTCAAAATTGCCATAACAAACTTCAGAAGAAAGCAATTTAAAGAGGTACATGCTCCATTGTTGGTCAGGATAAATGGGGTAAAGCCTCAGACTTTTCTAAAGAAAGTGTCTTAAGGAAAAAACAAGTGTTTCAGGAAGTGTTGTACTTACCAGTCAGACCTACTATAGTCAGAGCAAGCTGCAAAATAATTGGGACTGATGAAATGAATCTCTGTTTCATGATGCCTGCCTCTCCGCAGGAGGAAGTATGAGATCAAGGGCTCACTGAAAAACACGCCATCATGCAACAGTCAGTAACAATGCTCAGCATGTAATACGTATCTCATGACTTGACCAAAGTCCTTTTTTGAATTGCAGGTAATTGATTCTTGCTCTCTCTCAAAAAGGTGAGGCAACACCAACATTTCCCCTTTGGAAGCTGAAAACCGGAACCTCAGAGAAGCAGGTAGGCCTTGATAGAGGTCTCTGAATGATTAGCAGTGCTAGGATTACAATTTCTTAGCATTAACAAATCTTGCATATTTCTTTGGCATGTTGGGATACCAGGTTCTTATCTTAGAGTTCTAACTTCTAGGTTAATTAATTAACCTAAGAAAGCAGCCTTTTAGCAACAAAAATATACTTTTACCCCTACTGATGCAAAGAAGAGGTCAACATACTTGAACTCTGAAAGTCCTGAAAACAGAAGGCAAATAGAAAAGGTCCAACATTCATTTACAAGCTTATGATTTTGATCCAATCTCAAAACTTCTCTATATTTAGGACTGTCAGTATTGAATTCAGGATCCCTTGAGCAGAAGAATATTACTCTTTCAGTACATTCAACCAATTGTTTTTACTGTATTTGATTTTGCAGTAAATTTCAGGTGAAAGACAGATTTGCAAGGGGTCACCACCTGGGACCAAGACTCAGTCCCTGCCGTGGGCTCACACCACTAGATGTCCTCAGAATTCAGGTTACAGCTCTGGGTGCTCTGGAGTCCCTGCTGTTGCTAAATCTCTTTGCTTAGCCTGAAGAAACGACACCTCCTGCTTCTCCCACCAGTACACTCCCTGCTTGGAGACGACTGCAGTCAGCTGTTGGATTCTCGGTTGCCAACCTCAGTCTTCGAAACTAAAGACGAACATTTTACTGCCTCAATAGGGAGTTCCTTATCTCAGCTTTCCACTCCTACCCCTATCACATTCACAGGTAGATGTATGTTTGCAACCCAGTCTGTGTAGCACAGCATGAGAACAAGCTGTGTCCTGGGTGAGGAAAAATCCTTTGTGGTTCATCAGATGACTAATTTTGCAGTATGCAATTAATTTTCTACATCAAGAAACTGTAATGCATCATCATACAAATGTTTTTCAAGCACAAAGCCAAGTGAAGTACCAGTTAATGCAGCTAAGTCTAAAACATGTTTACTGTGGACAGTGTGGAAGAGAACAACAGTTGGCTACATTCCCATATGCCACTTCTGAATATCTAGGCGTGTTTCAGGCGCGCAACTGAGCTACAGGCTGGAAAATTGCATCTGGGTTAGTTTTAAACTCACTCAGAGCATTTTGTGCATATAAAGACAGTGAAGAGAGAACCACTTAAATATAAATTCCAGTTTGGTGTAAACACATGCAGCTTTTATTACTGTAAACAAATGGCAGGCACAAACATTAGTGTTTAATGTCAGAAATTACCCAAAAATAATTTTATAGCCCCATAAAAATAGGGCTATATAATGAGGAACACAGATGATTAGGCTCATAAAAGGCACATTTTTCTCAGGTGAAGTTGAAATAATGAAACTACAAACAGTAACTACTTCATGTACATATGACAGTATTTACAGTATTTTATTACTTCTAAAAATAGTTGGAACATTTGCAAAACAATGTACTTTAAAGCTAAGAGTCATATTGATAAAGAACTATTGCATGATTTTTTTTTTTTTACTTTTCTGTATGTATCTTTCTATGTGAAGAATTGACAAAAGAGAAACTGATTACACTGGCTGAAAGAATGACATTTTTTAATACAACAAAAGAGAGGCACCATCAAGAAGGATCTTTACTAGAGCAATTTTCAAGGAAAATGGGATGATTTTGTAAACTGAAGACCTAAGGAACCAAATTAATAGTGAGAGGCTGAAATTAATGCATTAAAAAATATATTTTTCCTCTGGAGCTTTTGAAAATGAGATGATTGTGAACCACTTCTGTGCGAAAGAACAAGAGGTGATACAGGGAAGGAATATGGACCTATCAGTGTCACAGACTAAGCTCTGTCTACAGTTCTGGTAATCTACACTCCGGAAAAAAGAACCGAACAGATTTTGAAAACAGCTATCAACATGACATAGAGACTGCCTCATGATGGTGATTTAAAGAATTGGCTTTGTACTCCATGCAAGTGTATGGTTCTCATCTGCAAACATAAAACGAGATAAGCATCAAAAGAGGGAAAATAAGAATGAGTAAAATAAGAATGTTTCCATGTTCACTTGCTATTCAGTATTTGCAACTCAAATAGGGCTTAGAAGGCTTCTGGAGAGATGTCTTGTTTTTTGAAAATACTTGCTTAATAAAAAGGTAATACTCACATTGTCATAACTGTATCTAAAGTGCATCTTCCCTATATATAATGTTTTCATAAAAGGGTAATTAGTGTTTTTGAAGATGCTACGAAGTAATGTCTCTCTTTTAGGACTGAATGCATTCTTTCATGAGGGATGCAGTGGACATTGATTTGCCACAATGTGATCCAAAATCAAGGGTTGAGCAACTGATAATTAAAAGATCATATGCCTCCTTTTGAAAGTCTTGATTTAATTCCAACCATGTTATTGCATTCTGACATTCTATCTGAATTTCTGCCTTTGAACACAGCTGTCAGATAGTATTCAACAGCTGTGCATCACATGCCAGAATGCAGTGCTCCTTGATGGAAATGGAAACTATTACTGGTGTTTCAGAATGCACAGAAGAATTAGATATTCCTGTAAAATAATTCTACCCTGGAATTAATAATATAATGAAATTGTAGGTTTGAAAACTGTGCTGACAATGCTACTAAATAAAGATGAAAGCTAAACATCAGTACTTAAATCAGGTGCCATGAAGCTGAGTTGAGAGAAACATGTCCTTGTCCTAACTGACTTTTAGTTCTTGCATTCTTTCATTTCTTTCTTTCCTGGCTCTGCTGACGGATAAATTTCTTGAGAGTGACAGAGAAGTCTTTACTCAGTTCTGCACAGATGGAAAAATTTTCTATCTGCAACGTTTTCAGGCTTGCAGGAACAGGAACAACTGTGTATCAGCCACTGGCAATGACATTATGTGCAACACAATTTCTGCTTCTGTGGTTAAAGAAATCAAAAGCCAAAAGCACTTTACCAATCTCTACTGAAAAAGTCTGGCATTTCCATTTGTCATGATGATAAACAATGTTCATCTTTCAGGCCTGGGGAAAGACAGTTTAAGGAGCTCTCAAAACACCATAGTTCATTACCATTTGAAAGGCTGAACTACAGCTGTATGAAACAAAATATAAAAAAGGAACCCACTAAAGCAAGAATGTGAGAGTCTGTTAGACAACCTAGAACATTCAGCTGTATTATGGACATGGCAGGAGTCTGCCCTCCCACACAGAGATCACAAAGCCAACAGGGATACATGTTCCTAGCCATGGCCAGAGCATCATGGCCAGGTGTGTTTCTGATTGACAGTGATGGTTGGGATTATACAGCAAATTAAAAGCTGTAGATGTGTAGTGTGACCAGAGCTCTGTTTTTCCTCTCTGAATGAGCCCTAATTGGATGTCTCTGAATCCCTCAGGCACCCAGCACTATCTTCAGGGTTATGCACAGGCTCCAGAGATGATAAAGGGCTGAGGCATGTCTATGATCTGAATTTCTTGTGACTGATTCCAGCTGGCAACTTTAAGCACGTATACTTGTGTACTTTGTGAGGAAGCCTAGTACCTGCTACTAGCTATGAACCTAGATATTCAGTTAATTTACTGGGATTTAGGACTTCATATTTCTGTGTTGCATAAAATGGGTGCAGTGGCAAGAACTTTTAGATTTCACCTGAAAAGCCTATATATGGCCTTATAATATATCTTTCCCAAATTTCTCTCATAAGTCACCCCCCAACAACCCTTGGCAGTCCTTCCTTTGATTAGCAGTCAAGATGTGATAATGAACAAAACAAATTGCCTCACCCATGGAGATATGTTTTGCAGTCTGAAAGACTTGAGTCAATTTTGAAAAAGGAAAATCACAAAACCCCAGATTCTTGAAAACAGTTTAGACCCTTACATCTCCATCATAGTATTTAGACTCTTAATTCCTATTGATTTTACAGAACAGAGACTGAAATTTTCTTAAGAACTCTCACTAACTAAACTGACGAAAAAAAAAAGTCAAAAGAAGAAGAAATTACCATTATCATCTTTGCAGATGAGGAACCAAGGTAAAGAATGCCCAACAGACTTATAGTAAAAGTGTAACAAAAGCTACAACCTGACCATTTTTCTTTTCTTTTCTAAATACCACCTCTACTGCCTTTGCTTTCCCACAAAAACAAATCTAATGCTTTAGCTAACAGTAGTACCCTCCTTTCTCTACCAGTCTCACATTTCCTGAATATTCAATTTTCTTCCCTGGTGCTTTGTAAGTTTAGCCATAATTTCAGGATTTATTTCTAAAGCAATCTCTAACAGAAAAGAAAATCGTAAGTTCTAAAGAGTAAAATTTTAGAGACTGAAAGCTAGAGCTTACATTAGAACTTGAATTATGCTGTGCATTCATCTCTACCAGCTATCAAGCCCAACTCCACAATCACTATCTTCTTACAGTAATTTTAGGTATTTTTGATAGATAGCATAGTCATAAAGTATAAAATAAAATTTTCTACCTAGGGGATTCATGTATGTGAGGCAGCTTTTTATGCCTCTCTTTCATGAATATCAGATTATTTGAAAAGTTGAAAAACAAAAATTCCATAATAGTACATTTCTGAAAGCACCACTAATTTATTTCTAAAACATAAAGAGAAAAAAGGTTACTCTGTATTAGCTGTTGTAGATACTGACACTCTAAGTAAATACACTTAAACATAGAGAGATAGAGACAGTGGTAAAATACTGTACATGCTTCCCTTTATCTATTTCAAACAAAATTTTGTAGAAATGAGCTTTGGATGCGGTTTAAATTTACTCATAAACTGTGCTAGGCT